TTGAGCCCATTCCCACAGCCGTGTTGTGTTTCCCTTTCTCAGCAGACGCTCCTTACAATCAGCGGGTGTGTCTATTCTTCCCTGACCGTGACCACATCAAAAAACATCGTGTCCAGATTTCAGCAGCCCCTTGGCATCTAATATGGGGACATCTTCTTCTTTTCCTTTTTGAAAATATTTGAGCACTACCTTCTCAGAGAGAGATAATACGTGTTTCCAATTCTGGCCATTTTAAGAAGTAAATGATATAAACCTTTTCACTGATTCATTTTATTGATATCAGTCATTCATTTAAAGCCGGTAAAGAAAAATACTGGTACATAAAAAAAGAACGGAATAATGCCATTTAAAGCAACATGGATGGACCTGGAGATGATCATACTAAGTAAAGTAAGTCAGACAGAGCAAGACAAACCTATGATACCACTTACATATAGAATCTAAAAAGTAGTAGAAATGAGCTTATTTGCAAAACAGAAATAGACTCACAGACACAGAAGACAAGCTTGTGGTTACCAAAGGGGAAATGGAGGAGGGATAAATTAGGAACATTGGATTAACAGATATACACTGTGCTGTGCCTAATCGCGCAGTCGTGTCCAACTCTTTGCAGCCCAGTGGACGGTAGCCTGCCAGTCTTCTCTGTCCTTGGGGATTGTGCAGGCAAGTATGCTATACTATTACATATAAAATATAAGCATAATAAGGATTTACTATATAGCACAGAGAACTGTAGGGTTTCCCTGGTGGTTCAGTGGTAAAGAACCCTCCTGCCAGTGCAGAAGACATGGATTTGACCCGGGGTCAAGAAGATCCCCTGGAGAAGATTTAGGGTTAGGGTTAGGAAACAGCCACCCACTCCAGTATTCTTGCTTGGGAAATCCCATAGATTGCAAAGGAGCCTGGCAGGCTACAGTCTGTGGGGTTACAAAAGAGTCGGACTTACCGACCCAACAATAGAGAACTATGTTGTATATCTGGTAATAATTTACAGTGGAAAATAGTCTGATAAATACACATTTAACTGAAAAAAAAGTTCTGACGATATAGTGTTGAATGTGGCTCTACTTGGGATGACAGACCAGCCTGTTTGTCCTGTGATCTACTCTCAGTATAATCCTGCCTCACACACTCCTTCTTTGCTACCAGCCTGTCCTCAAGAAAGCTCCATGGCAAGAGAGTCATGATACAGCTGGAGGGTCCTCCTACCTCTGAGCCCGTGTTGCCTTAGTTCTTGCTGGGGTGACGGTCTTGCTCAGCTCAGGCTGCGGTAACGAAATGCCCAAGACCGCGTGGTGTACACAGCAGACATTTATTACTCACAGTCCTGGAGGCTGGAGGTCCAAGGGACCGGCAGACTCGGTGTCTGTTGAGAGCCTCTTTCCTTGTGTGTGAGTGCATGTTTCTGTGTCACCACTTAGCAGTGATGCAACCAATATGATCAACAAAAACCCTATTAGTTTCTTGGAAATACTTTCTCTGTTGGTTGTGCGTTGGGTTCAGGACACAGAAAGTTATCCCGCCTGACTGGGCAGCATTTTGTTTCTTTATATATTATTTTCACATGTCAAGTTCTTAGGAAAACTTTGATAATATGCCCTGTTAAAAGTCAAAAGCAAAAGGTTAAAAAACATATACAGTTTGCATAAGGCTTACTTATAAATTTGAGTTCTGTGTTCTCAGGACTAAAATAGCTGGGTGATCAGTGTCTTGGCTGTGCTGAAGACTTAGCCAGTGCTTACCTTCTTCAATCCCTGGGGCAGTTTTGAAGCAATTTTAGGGTAAATGCATCTTGTATTTAAATTTATAAATGATGTGTTTCCGGCATTTTGGTAAATGAGTTGTATATCCCTTGGCTTCTTGTGGATCTTTGCTTTAGGAGAGCAAAGTGTACAACTGCAGGATTGTTTCATGACTTCAGTCTGATTCTGCTGTCACCACGACCCTATAGTCCTGTGGGTATTGACTGGCTAGGCGACATGACATCAGGTGTTAGCACAGCTCGTAAAGAAGACTTTGGGTCTTATATAGGTGATCAAAATCTATCTTATAATGGACAGTCGATCGATACTTCTTTCTCTATTAACTCAATAGAAGTTTGAGGAAAGTACCCAGATAAAAGCAGCATGCCCTGGCTTTGAGATAGTTCTTTTTCCTCTGTATTGATGTGCCAGGGTGTCATCAGCATTCTGAAATAGCACAGAATCCCCTTTGAACTCCTCTCCTTGCTGTCAAAGGCTATCCGTATTCACATCAGTTTTCCTTTTATTGCCTTCAGATTCTCTCTGTAGCCACTGAGAAAGGATTGTCATGAAAGGTATTTAAGATCTACATAGATCACACGTCAGAATGGAGGAAAACCGTCTACTGATTCAGCCGTTTATCCTGTTTTGTTGCACAGAAGTTAGAAAAAAAAGGACCAGATGAAACCCAGCAGATGATAACACAGCTTTTTTTTTTTTGCACTTTTTATAGTTTGTCTATCGCATGTTGTAATGAGCATGCACACGTTGCTTCTGTATACCTCCCTCTGTTGTCTTGGCTCTTAGGGGAGAGGGAAATTTCATCAATGTTGAGTTGAGTGTTTATGTGAAATCTAAATCTTTATATGAAAATGATTGCTTCAGAGTTTTAAGGAGATGGCAAAATTGTGGTCCGGGTGAGGGTTGGAAAAGAATTTCCAAACATGAGACAGAATGAGAGGGAAATAAAGTTTATTAGAGTGGGAGACACTGTTAGAACAGTGGGCCAGCTCAAGGGAGAACCGATGTTGAACAGGGGTCCTTAGTCCACTTTTATAACCAAGGGTACAAAGAGTGAGATAGGGGTCTTGTGGGTCATTTGCTGATTGGATGAGGCATGTATACTGGGTTGGGGGGGAGAGTAAGGCAAATACCTTCTCCCTATGGGGTAGGAGGGAAGACAGGTTATACTGCTCAGGAGAACCAGAAATCTGTTAATAGTTTTAATAACATGGGGGAGGGAAAGATGATAAGGGTCTATTTTTCCCATTCCTGCATTCCAAGTCACCCCTTGGTTCTGTCTGCCCTCTTTGTCCTTGGATCACTACAAAAATAAAAAAAAAAAAAGAATTTTCCATTTCCTGTTGCAGTAGCAGAGAAATTCAGTCCCCCCAGCTGGTTTCTTTTGAGAAGCCAACATCACTCCTGCTTCAGCATCGAAGTTAACAAATCTGCGAAAGGACTGTTTCCTTTTGCCTGCTGCTGTCTTTCTATCCAGGGCAGTGAGCCAGCCTCAAATAATGAACCAGGAGCAATGTGACAACTCTGGTTCACTTTCATTTTTTTTTTAATGTATTTAAAGAGATGGACTGGTTTCATGGATAGGCTGTGCACAGGTGTAAAGTCTTCTTTGAACAGTTTAGAAGTGGCTTAAGTTGAAAGAACAGGAAGGTCTTCACTTTGAGTGTTCTTGTTATAAATTTGAGATTGAGTGACACTCTCATTGAAAATGACCTTTAATCTGATGCCTCACCCATTGATGGAATGTCATTCACCTCTGTGCTTTAGCCTTAAGTTGTATCATAATAGAGAAAAAGAAGGTATGGCTTTTTAATTTTTCTCTTGGAAAATAAGCGATGAGATTCTCGCAATTCTTAATGTCTGTTAAAAAAACTTTTATTATTTCTATCAACACTTCTATTTTTGTTACAAGTGTACAGCATGAGCTATATTTTCTTCCAGGTAAAATTTCAGAATGAAGTCACCAATAGATTCTGAAATACAATTTTGTCTTCATAGATATACATACATGTATATGGACACACATGCCCATATATTTATGTACATAAGGTATCTGTGAGAAAATTTAATATATATGTCATTTAGATTATATATTCAGCAATCATTAATAAATACAAATAAGGAGTTAAATAGCTTGATATTCCCAATGTAGTACTATAAAATAATCCTTCTGTTTTACTATGGCTTTTCTCAAAAATGAATATGGGAACATATTTTCTACACATATTACTTCATTTCTACCTTCATTATACCATTGCCTTTATATTTAATGAAAGAAATGCTAAATGTGATCAAAGATCAGAATCATTATTGGAACTCAATATTTTTTAAATTATAAGAGTAATAGAACAGGCTATTAGAAATGTAGCAAAAAATGAAAGACACACACTTTATAAATAAATATTTATTATCCTTGCACTTTTTTATGATGCATTTTACTTGGTACCCAGCTGTGCCCCTTACAGCTTTGTGTCCTGCTTTAACCTCTGTTGTAAACATTGATCCAAACTGCTACATGATCTTCAAAGCTATCATTTTTAAGGCTGTATTCATTTGCCTTTTGTGTATAATCCATAACTTAAAATGTATGTGCAGTTAATTTTTAATTATATATTTTGTTAACTCATTAGACTCAATTCAAAGCAAACGTCAGGATTTCTATAAAATCAAAATTTGCCTATAGCTCATGGCAGAGTATCTAATAAACCATAACAATCTTCTCTCTTTTGTACATTCTGTTTGATGCTCATAGATGCAATGACAAAATATGTATTTTGTAAGCGATTTAGAAATGTATCACAGTTGACACTTGCGTGTAAGAAGTGAGGGCACTTGCTAGTCTCTAACTGCGATGCTATGCCTATCGTATGCTTAGCTTACTGTAAAGTATGCTGTCTTTATCTGTAGTCTTCCTTCATCCTGCCCAATTAAAATCAGCGTACCTTTTCTCCTTCCTCCCTGTAACGGTTGCTAGAATTGTTCTCAGAGCACTTAACTGTTCTACTGCCAATTACATTCACTTATGTACCTGCTCCACTCTCCATCAGAAGCTTTTGGGGGGCAGGAATGGCTCTCCCATTTTTGGTGGTCCTTGGACTGCTGATGCCATATCCTGCCTGCAGTTCTCCAAATGTCATGACACCCTGCTTCGGTTTTCGTCTTGGATGTTTGCAAAGGGCAATGGTGGGAAGTGTGACGATGTTAAAGATGTTTACTCTCTCATTTCTCTTCCACCAGTGGGATGGAGTAGGACCTCTTCCAGACTGTGCAGAACCACCAAAAGGGATCCAGATGCTGTGGCACCCATCCATAGTCAAACCCTACCTCACACTGCTGTCTGAGTGCTCAAATGCAGACACGCTGGAAGGGGCAGCGGGCGCCCTGCAGAACCTGGCTGCAGGGAGCTGGAAGGTATGACTGGTTTGTTACAATAAGAAAGAAATTTGGAAGCACGAGAGGGTTCTTAGAAAATAAGAGAAGTCCAATTTTGAGGAGTGCTATTCTAATCAAGTTTTCTAAGGATGATAGAGAAAAAAAAGAGTTCCATTGAACTGTTGGACTTAGAAACATATTTCTTTGAAAAAGTCTTCTTAAGGAGGTCCTTGAAGATGCCTGCAAAACACAGAGGAATAGATGTCAGTATAGTCATGGAAGATGCAGTGATATGCTTTCCATTCTATCTGTGTAGTTGAGTTCCTTCCTTTTCAGAGGTGACTGGGAACATGTCAAGGGTTTTCAAAGCACTGTCACTGACAGAGTTGATAACCCAAACATCTCGTATAAAAACCCCTGTGAATCCTGTAATATCGTAGCTGGTCTTGTCCCCAAAGGAAAAGAACCACTTGCATTTTTAAACTATGGGATCACAGGGAAGAATAGTGTTACTAGTTATCTTTGGCAAAATGTTAAATTAAAGCAATTGTATGGTTGGGAAAGATACTAGGAGGGTCTTTTTCTCTGGATTTTTATAAACACACAGTCTTCCTGATGGGTTCTCACAGAAAGTTTTCATGACCTTCCTTTTGGGTAGAAAGGAGGGATTCATTATGACCAAGAATTCTTGAGTTTGCTCACTGCTAGTTCCATGAGTTAAATTGCCTTTTTGCATAAAAGAGTGTTAACCTCTTAGAAGAATGGAGGAATGTGGGGAAAATATCAAGAGAAGGAATTTAAACCTCAGCCTTCCATTTTCCATTCATTTAATATCAAGGCTTGGAGTTTTGGACTATTCATACATCACTCCTTTCCTTACCATTCATTTTTTCTTCAAAACAATATTGATATAGATACATAGTTTTAGATCACTCTCAGAAGCTCAGTACCATGGGTACCACACATACTGGCTTCAGTATTGTCCTGTCATAATACCTTCTCTTCTTATCAGATCTTCCAATACCTGCCTCTTGTCACTTCTCTGTCCCTCCCATCATCTTTTCCATTTCTACAGTCTCAGCTGCAGCACCGTCTTTCCTGGGTGGGACCTTCCAGCTCTTGGGGCACAGCTCTTGGGACCTAGCCCCTGATGATACTCTCCAGGAGCTGGCTACTTACTCATGCATGCCAGGCCCACCTCTTCTCTTAAGAGTTTTAGGAATGAGCATAATTATTCCTTTCCCTGTTTTCCCTTAAGGCATCCCTAATGTTGTCCCTGAAGAATTCAGGTGGCGCAGGGATTGAAGTGAATTTGTCCTTTGCTTTCATCCAAAGAGAAGTTTCAAAATTAGAGTCTCACCAGGCAGAATGCCAGAGGATAGCCTTGCAGAGCTAGGAAAGTGACAGTCATGGAAGTCAGTTCCTTGAACTTGTCCTGAGTCTTAACTTCCATCTAAAGTTAAGAGGCTTTGAGTCCGGTCACAGTTCAAAACTTTTCTAAGCTTTGTGGCTCTGGGAAAGTTAAAGCATCTCAATGTGTCCCAGGTGCATCGTCTTTAAGCAGAAGCAGTCATGGGCGACCTCCCCCCACATCATGTAGGTTAGTCACAAAGCTGGATTCAAAGATGCAGGATGTCATAGGCCAAAGGGTCGTCACTGAACACCCAAGAACACTAAGTTGCTGCAAGTCCCCACCCGCCTCCCTTGCCTTGGAGGATGGATTAAAGGGGATGGGAAGGGATGCTCTTTAGAGCAGAGTCTGATCTGAAATGCAAAGCCATCTAGATGATGGCAAGTTTGCCATATTTTGATTTTTTAATGAATTATTATTTTTACTTGCCAATTAGTTAGGTTCTTATAAGAACAAGTTAAAAATGGAGAAATGTCTTTGAGCGCTAGAAGATGTTGATTGTAAGATTTCAAACTTTGCTTCAGAAGTTAAGCTCTGTATTCCATATGTTCAGAAAATTAATTAGAAACATGAAAAATTTATAAAGACGCAAATAAAATGTATGGAGTTGAAAATATAGCATCTTAAATGAAAAATACGTGGGATGGAATCAATAGCAGATTAGACATTGCAGAAGAAAAGTTTAGTGAACTGAAAGATAGCGATTGTAAACTATACAAAATGAAATACACAGGAAAAAAAAGGAAAAAAATGGACAGTGCATCAGTGAGCTTCAAGTGGCCTGATATATATGTATTAATGGAGTCCAAAACAAGACAAGAGAGAAAGGAGAAAAAGAAAGCTATTTGAAGAAATGATTGAAAACATTCCAAATCTAATGAAAACCACAAACTCACACATCTAAGCAATTCAAGAAACTGTACCAGAAGCATGAAAAAGTTATACCAAGGTACATTATAATCAAATTGCTCAAAATCAGAAATAAAAAGATTATCTTAAAAGCAGCCAGAGAAAAAAGACGTGTCACGTACCAAGAACTGTACATCTCCACATCATATTTAAGGATAAATATCTCCAGTTATTCAGTTATTCCTTGTTAGATTACTAAGGATGTCCTCTTGAAGAGAATCTGGTCTATAAGACCTCTAAGAGCAGAAACCAGGTTCCATTTATTTCTTTGTACCCCACTGCTAAGCCTTGTGCGTGGCTGAGCAATAATGCTGAGACACAGACATTTAACTGAACTAGTGTCTCTGTCCATATGTCTTTCTTATGAATAGCAGTTTTCTATATTTATAAACATCCGTCAGTCACTAAGCAGTTAGTAGCGCATCTTCAGATGATCACAATTTATGATTCTTTTTTTGGTCCTTTGATTCAGATGGGAATATGTGGTCAATAGGATATAAAATTAATAGAAAGGAATTATGGGAGAACTGCTTTCTTTTCAGTTTTCAGACTCATCAGTATTTTTTAGGATGCATATTTTGATGTCGTTGCCCAGTTCCACAATACCTGAAGCATTGGACTTTGTATTTAATTTGGTGATTAAAGACACAGGTGCTGTGTCTCACATAACCAGGTCAGCTGGATGAGCTGCTGAGATATGTCTGGGTCTTTAGGTGTTTGGAGTAATAAAACAGTAAATTTACAGTGTATATGATTTTATACTGATTTATAGTATTTTGATATTCAAAAATTCTCTCCTGCTTTGGGTTATGTAATGAGAATTAAGGAGGAAGTCTGATAAAAATTCTCAGAATTTTCTAGCAATAACATCTTTCTGACTGTTTTCAGTGCATTAACCTGAACATTAGTCATCCCCAGTGTAAAATTCATCCCCATATATCCAGATGCATTGAACTGGTAATCTTTTTATTATTAATAGAGACTACTGAGTAAGAGGCAGAATGGTCTACAACAGCTAAAATCAACATCACAAGAGCCATTCTGTATTTTAGACAAAGCTTAATAACTATGACCATTGGATTTCCCAGCCTTCATCAGATTTCAAGCAACAAATTAAAAAATTCAAGGAGTTACTCTTGTAAGCAGGTACACAGATCTGTGGTAAGAAGGGCAAATAGATACCCTGATGGCAAAGTGAAAAGATAGAAGAGTTAGAAGAAGTAAATATAAGGATGCAAGAAAGAAAAAAATGTCAGAGGCCAGTCAGTGTTTTGGCTGTTTCATTTATTCTAATCACTGATGGTCATAATGCTGACTGTCATCAAGAAAATGTTAAGTGGCTACTAGTAATTTTAGAAGACAAAGCATTTTAGAAAGACTTTTATTCCAATAGTTAAAGTAGAATTTTGACTCTCAGGGTGTCATCCTTGCTTATACAGAGCACTGGCCTTCCTGATGGCTTTAGACAAAGGGGATAATCCTTGGTCAAGGCAAAGGGGCTTTGGGGCATATTTGTGCATAGTTATAAATGTATGTGCTTGTATAAGAATCTTCTTATAAAAATACAAATACACAAGCATGCATAAAGGACAGTATCACATTATCGATTTTCTTTGTATAATTTAGTAAGGTACCATGTTAAATGGTAGGGGAATATGTGGGAAGGGAAGATGGATAAGAAATAGGAGTGATTTGAGAAGATCGTTATTAAGCCAACACTGATAAATAGTTATAACTTTTTAAAGATGAGAATAGTTTATACCAAAACCAAACAAACTTGATCAGTTAAAAGATTGACTGAGGACACACAAACAGCATCAAATTTCATGAAGACAGCATTACCATCTAAAACCTAGGGTTCTAAGAATGTGTTTTTTATAGCAACTGTTGAAATTTAGTGGTGTTCTTTAAGTGTCCTTAACTTTTATGATCCAAACAAAAGCAGAAATGTGAAGGTAAAACACCCGAATTTTACATGGAGAGAGCTTTTTATAGACCTCATCATCTGAAACAATAACTTCTCTTTATGCGGAGTTGTGCAGCACACTTTTCTGTGAAAAATTGACTAGCAAACTAGATCTTCATAATGGCCCCACATACTATTTAAACTTTAAAAGACTCATTACTTGGTTTATGAGCATCAGAAAAACATAATGGCAGAAGCAAAGTGAAATGTTTTTCTTAGCTAACATGGACTTCAGTTACCTTTTCCTCATTTACAGTAAAACGATTTTGTCACAGAATATTAAAACAGTTGGATATAGTAGTTTGACAAGTTCCAAAATGTGAATGAATGCTCCCATTTGTGGTTTATTTTTATCGTACTTGAACCCTATGGAAACTCAGGATTAGAACTGTCAAAATACATCTGTTCTATTGCTTTTAAATCAAACATTTTAGATATCTTTGTGTGGTCAGTTTTCTCCCTAAAATGGGACTATTCTCAGAGAGTCTATTATTTTCCCATTTATGTTCAGAGTTAGAGGAAATAAAGAGATACTTGGATATTAATCTGTTAATATTTAATGAAGTAACATGATAGCAACATAGATTTAGTGAGAAGGAAATAGAATCTCTGGCCATGTGGCCCAAATGAATAAAAAATAAAGAGAATTGGGAAATCTGAGACTTGTTCCTAAGGACAGGGAACTTAAGAGGGGCATTGAATTTAGTGTGGCTTAGCAACTGGTGTATCATTAAAAATGAATTAGGCTAAATG